TTGAGTTAAGGTTTTGCATGAAATGCTTGGGGATCACTGCATTGGGTTCTTAAGGAGAAACAACCATGGCAGAAAGGGATACCCCTAGGTATCCCTCATATCTTATGGGAGCAGAAGGTCTTTGTAAGCCTAGGACTGGAAGATGAGAGAGAGAGAGAGAGAGAATGTGTGATGGATGGGAGAGGTTCCTCCTTCTTGGGATTTCTGGCATGTATAAAGATACATACTCCAAAAGCCACATGATAGAGGACCTCAAATTACTGAATGTCATGGCAGTACTGTTGAAGCTTTACGAAACATCTTCACATTCCTTACCCAGGATCCTCACAATCCAATGAGGAAGACCAAGCAAGGATAGCTTCCCTATTTTATAGACAAGAGAGCTGGAATAGGGGCTGGGGAAACATGAACACTGGAGAAATTCACTCTAGGTTCAAATCCTGATTTGTGGTCTTACGACCTTGGGCAAGTTACTTTGCTAAATTTTCACAGTATTTTATACATTTCTTGCAGTGTACAAGGAGCTAATTTAGAATCAGTTCCAAATCATCTCCACTGGTTTGGTCTCATGATGAATAGAGGGGCAAAATCTCACTTCTTATGTTAACTTCTAAGTATTCAGGCTCCTTAGTGTGCCTTGCACTGTATAGTGCTAAACACTACTAATGCCAGATTAAAGGGGTGATAAACAAAAGATGAAAACCATCTGGAGCCAATGCACATCATAGCTGTTACATGAATACTTGAATACAAAATGGGTCATAAGTTGAAATCATGTAGAAGAGACCTTAAAGGTCATAAGGATTTAGGAAAACAGCAATGTCTGTTCCCCTGAGAAAACAGCAACAGTTTACATAAGTGAAAACATACATAAAGTGCTTAGGATCAAAGAACAAGAACTTTGAAGTCAGGCAGAATCTGGGTTTGAATCCCACTTTGACATACTGGTTTGACTAAGACAGGTCATCTAAGCTTTCTGAATCTTGATTAGTTGATTTTAAAATGGGGGACTAGTGCCTACCTCAAAGTTGTTGAATCGATTAAGTCAGATAATATATGTGAAGTATTTTAGCATACTGCATAGTATATAATAGGCATTCAATAAATCATATTTGTGGTTATGTTGGAAGAAGAGGAGGAAATAGTGTATCATAGTGAACTTCTGAGTGCAATAACCATGTTATTCATATGCATATCCCCTTAGATCCTTATTGGGAATGCTGTTTAGAGAGGTACCATGATAAGGCAACTTGTACCATACTGATGTGATTAACTGTACCACTCCATTAATAAATGAAGGGAGAAGAGTGCTATATCCTTCTACCTTCTACATGTATAAGTGGATTTTCATATAAACAAGACATTGTTTAACTTGGTAATTTCCTGAAGGACATGACTTGTCCAAATGAACTGCATTTATCAAAAGTAAAAGAGTCCTTAATCATAGGAAACAAACTGAGGGTTGCTGGAGGGGAGGGGGGTGGGGGGCATGGGGTAACTGGATGATGGACATTGAGGAGGGCACGTGATGTAATGAGCACTGGGTGTTATATGCAACTGATGAATCACTAAACTCTACCTCTGAAACTAATAATACACTATATGTTAATTAATTGGATTTAAATTAAAAATAGAAAAAAATTAAAGAAAGGAAGTAATTTTAAAAAAAGTAAAAGAGTCCTTTACTTCTTTATCTAATGAGCACAGAGACATGCTATCATTTGTTTTTCCTAGATTCCCCATCACTGGCTCAAGCAAGCTATCTGAACCTGCTTATAACCTATATATTAAACAATCTGATTGTCAAATTATATTGAACATCTCTTGTGAGCAAGACCCTGACACAGACAGGAAGATAAGATGTAGTCCCTATCCTTAGCAGAAGTAAATTTCTCAAATAAATTATACCTTATTAAAAAAACAGACTTCTCTCCAACTGAAAATGTACCAGTATTTAGAGCTAAATCTGTGAGCCCCACGTGAGAGGAAAATACACATTAATATACACATTAATGAGTTGGGCTGGGACACTGTTAATATTCACAATGGAAATATAATGCCACGATTAATTCCAGGATTAGTTTCAGGACAATGAATAATTAAAATTTCATGGCAAATCTTCATTAGGAGGTTTTCTGCTATCGTTAAATACTAAGTTACATGTTGCTGTCCTGACATTTTTATTCTGGGTGGCACAGTTTAAGGAAAAAAAAGTACATTATTTCTCATGGAAGGCATTGAACATATAGAGTAGCAGATACACAAACAGGAAGAAAAGTATTTTTAGAATAAATTAAACATATTCCATTTCCATGAAGAGAAATTTCAGGTCACATTTGAATTCAAAAAAGAAAATTCCAATGGATTTTTGGAAGAACATAAATTAGCCTAAAATGCTGAATAAGCAGTAAAGGAAAAACTACTACAGGCTGAAAAACATAGCATTGGAAGTAAAACTGTGGGAAACTGTTAACTTTTACTCTAAGACTTTGTTTAAACCTCTGCAAGGATGACTATCACTTAAAGAGGCTCTCTGAATGGAACATTTATTACAAAGGATGTGCTTTGGAAGAGTGATAACCTTTGCTTCTCAGTCAGGTTCAGAGAAATACCTGAGCCTGGGACAATAGAGTACTTTTAATACCCAGTGTGGATACAGAGAATCACATTTCCTTTCATTTACAGACAACTTACATGAAAGACCCATTTCTGTATCCTTATATGTAGTCAAGGGGTTGGAGTTAAAAATATTAGAGCAAGCAGACTGAACAAATCAGGGTATGATTCAAAGTTCTTATAATTGATTTGGAATACCTCTAAATCTTCGAAAGGAACAATTTTAAGGGGTAAAAATTAAGGTCAAGTTCTATGCTGAGTGAATTCAATTCTTGATCAAAAGAAAGGGGAGAAAAAGTGAGAAATTCACCTGAAATATATTATAATTGAAATCAGGCCAACAGTTTAAAAATAATAACTTCACATGCAAAACTTTAAATAAAACTGAAAAATATAACTTATAGAAATCTCCTAGAGAAAATAACTAACACCAATTTTATGTTTATTTTTCAGATATTTTCCCATACATACATTATATATATGTATAGTATTATTATTGTTCTCTTATTAAAAAATAGAACAATACATTTGCAACTTAGTTATTTTTTCACTTAATTTATCTTGGATATTTATAAATGTCAGTATAGACTTTCTCTTGTTATGTAATGGCTGAACAGCATTTTACTGTCTGGCTATAATAATTTATTTAAACTATTATGTCCTGCTGATGGATATCTAGGTTGTTCCCAAGGTTTCATTATTTCAAACACTGCTGAAATGAAGACTGCTATAAAACATGTCTAAATTCCTAGAATGAGAATTGTTGAATCAAGAGGTATGCAGATACTGCCAAATAAGCAACTAGTTTTTTTACATGTAATTTTTTCAAGGAAAAACTGGGCAATCGTTTTTCATAAAGTGCTTCATACTCATGCGCAAAATTAAAACTAAGAAATGAGAGGGAAATCAATCCAACGCAAAGAAAAAGGAAAAAAATAACAAAAAGAAAGCATGGTAAAGAGAAAACAAAATGATAGGAATGAATAAGTCAAAATAGAAAAGAAATGGCACAAATACAAAATACATATTTCTATGAAAAGATAATCTCAAAAATAAATACAGCATAGATGCTGAATATAAAAGATATACCTATACTAAATGAAAAAAGAACATTAAAGGTAAAGAGAGAGAAGACAGTATATTAAGCTAATAATGACAGAAGAAAGCAGGCATGGGAATAATATCAGACAGAAAATGATTTGGTATATTTTATGTATTGTAATAGTATCATGGTTATGTTTTTAAAAAGTCTTTGTCTCTTAGAGATACACACTCAAGTATTTACAGATGAGATATGATGGATTTGCTTTAAACCTGGAGGGGGTTTGGGTGGGGTAAGTAATTGGAGGGGTAGGAGTGAAATAAGATTGGCCATAGGATGATATTGTTGAAGCTGAGTGAAAGTATGGGCACAGAGGCTTTATTATACTAGTTGCTATAATTTTGTAGATGTTTGAAATTAAAAAAAATACTTTTAAATGAATTCAAGTAGAAAATAAATGGCACAAAAGAAGATATATTGTTAAAATTATAAAGTAACATGGACAAAAAAACTTTAAAATATACAAAACAAAACTGGAAAAAAAATGCAAGGAGGAGACAAATCCATAATTAAAATGAGAAATTTTTAAGACTTTTTACCAAAAATTGAGGATCAAGTAGAACAGAAATAATAAAGATACTAATGATCCAATTATATCACCAGCATGCTATACACTTATTCATACTCACACACTCACATATATTTGTGCCTGACAGTCTCTCTATTCTTTTTAAACACTAGAGGAACACCCCCCTCCACAAATTGGCCATATATTAGATTACTCTATATACTTCAGTATTGTTTGATTCTTATAGATAGGTATTCATGTATGTGATAATCAAAAAAACATTAAAGAAAAGAAATATTTATACTTTGGTTGTGGCAGGTTTTTAAAACACATTCTCTCATTCCATCTCACATAAAACAATGAGCCTGGTATGAAGGTGAGGCTGGAGAGGCTCAGTCATTTATCCCAGGTCACTAAAGTGGTTAAGTGGCAGCCAGGACTTACACTCAGTTCTGCTGAATGCCAGAGCCTGGTCAGGCTGCCTGACCATGCTGCCTCACAAAATTCTCGATTAAGAAGATTCAAGATCACCAGACCCTTACTTTTAATTTCTCCTTCAAACAGAACACTTAAGATTTTAATGATTAAAAATCAGATTCTGGTAGAAAATGGATGCAGTAGAATATTCTGAAAAAGACAAAAATTTTTACTTCAGTGTGTCTTCCTGATACCCAGTTTTAATGAAAATCATTCTTCTCTTAAGGCTTATCCATTTTATTTACAGGAATTTTTGCAAGTACTAATGCTTAGTGGTATTTTTTTGTTTTTTGTTTTTTAAACATGATGCAGTTGTTTAAATCCTTGGAGTTCGATTTCATCAGAGAACAGCGTTACTTCATTATGTCTAACATGGAAATTAAAAAAACAGGAAGATTCTTTCAGGTCACAGGTATTTATTTCTTCACACCACCAGATGTTGCCTCTATTACTCTGGGTAAAGATGTGCTTTCCTAGATACCCACCAGGCCTGGGGCAGACCATGTCTGTTGGAGGACAGCTCTTTATGCAAATGCAAAGCACTTTACTCACCCAATTCGTATTTTCAGCATGCCACTGAATAACTCAGGGTTATTGGAGATGATCCAGCCAATATGGATGACCAGTTCTTGCTGAATGACCGCCTCCCTCTCATCATGGGTATTACACTTGTAATAGATGATGTTCTTAATCACTCTTGGAGACAAAGGATTAGAGATAACCTCTTCTTCATGCCCAAAGGCACCCAGAGTTACCTATAAGTGGCAGAATTTTATTGCAAAAATTTCCTAGCAACTAAAAGGTAAGAGAAAATATTCAAGGCTCAGGATGACTGGCAGGCTGAAATTACTCTACGAGAGCTAGGGAATTAGGTAGAATAACTGTTCCTGCTATTTATTTAAAATGGCTTTCAAAGCATGACTCCCACTAGGGTTCATGATGGTTCACAGTCTGGTCTAAAATATAAGGGCAGGTAAGGGCCCCAGTTAGGGAAGTGAAGGTGAGTGGATAAAAGTAGGGAAGGAATATAAATAACTATTAAGAGAAAATTATTCTGAATGACTTTAGTACTAGAAACTCTCCAGAGAAACCAAAATACATTGGATAGTTTTACTTTACTGCACAGTCTACACAGTTTAGTATTTGAGAGTATATTTTTCACTTCTTTTATAGTTTCTCATGTGGAACTTTTGTTCTTTAACAACACTATAACCTTTTCAAAGGCAGATGCGAGGTCATATAGTTCTAGTGTAGCCCCCACTTATCTCAGCATAGGGCTAGGCACCTAGTGAGTATTAAGATACTTGTTGATCTATCTCTCACCTGTGGAGGGGGATAAACGAGGCTGCCCACAAGCCTAGGAAATGAGAAAGCACAGAGGGAAATGACAACAAAAACTCAAAGCAGAGAGTGCTGCTGAAACTGGTAAAGAGGAATACTCTGCATCTCTCTCCTCTGTCCTTGGCATCCTGCCTCCCAGAAAAGTCTGCACCCCCTCTTTCCTCCTGATTACCCCCTCCCTCTCTCTTCTATGGACAAGAGCACAATTATAAGAGGCAGGAAAATGAAGAGCATATCAAAGGACCCTTGTGTTTTCTGAGATGAGGGGAGAGAGCAGAACATGAGGTCTTTTGCCCCAACTTTGTGATGAAGTGAAAACTGAGAACTGCTGGTTTATTATATCACAAGTGGTACCAACCAGGTAGTCCAAGTACGATTACTTTTATTAAAATGTCAGTGTGTAAAGAAGAAAACAAACAGAAGGCACATCACTGCCTCTGGAAGTGATGATGACTAAACCACTATTTCATTCCAGAGAGCTTGAGGTGATCTGAAAGTACTTTGTAGAAATAGTATTAACTTCAGTTCTCAGGGCAGCATTTCATAAATGAGTGAAAAAACTTTGAATGTTCCATCCTCATTTCTTTTTTGTAAAGGGGTAAGATGCAGTCTGTGAAGGGACTTCATGCACCTGAAATGGAGCTGTCAGCCTCCCAGGCTTACTCAGCTCTGTAAATGTTTCCCTGGGAGATGTGCTGGTCTGGCAGGCAATGATCCAGCCACAGCCTCAGGGCAGGCTCCAAGGCCTCTAGGATATGGGGAGCAGAGTCTCAGGATCACAGGTTGCGAGTCCCCTCCATATAATGCACAGAATGGACATGACTAACCTTAACCCACCCCTCTCCAAGTGTCAGGTACCATGACCTCAAAGATCTCTAAAATCTCATATACTCATATGTAGTAGAATTAACTATATTTTCAGATATACTACAGGGGCCTAAAATCCAAGGAAAGATAGCTTCCCAAAGCCCATTTACTTTCTCCTAGAGGTGACTCGGTCCAGGGCAACAATACGAGACTGTGGCTGGAGGTAAGGACTGTGGTGAGGAAGGGCAATGGATAAGGTACTTCCTGTACCTTGGTCTATGTAGCTGATGAATGAGGATGACAATTCTACCTCTTAATGTGGAGAAAACAGAGAAAATAACATATGTGAAAAGTGATTTAACTTTTTCTCAGGAGTTTTTAATTAATACATTTTTTTCATTGTTAATAAATACTACAAGATAAAATAACTTACTATCCTAACATTTCAAGCTGGATGTCAAGAGATGAAATAATTACAATTTTAATGAATTAAGAGCCCTGAAATATGATCAATGGGCTGATTCTATTAAGGAGGGTTAAAGTATTTCATATTATTAAAGCTTATTATATCCCTAGGTCAACTGTCAGGAAAGCATGATAAAGCACACATATTCCCAAAGAAGCGAAAGAAAGCAAACAGGTTTTCATTCCAACCAGATGATGATTCAGCCAGGTAATTAGAGCTTATGGAAAACAAAACAAAAAATGAGCAGCCACATCCCACTCTGCATACCCACATGCACAGGCTCAATTCAAGCCACATTCATCAAGTGCCTACTCCAAGTCAGACCCCATGCTGAGACAGGTGCTGGACAAGACCTGGGCCCTGACTTCCAGGGGTTCACAGCCTATCCTGGGGTAGAGAGACACACTTTGAAATGAATTGGGATCCAGGGCAGACCGTGAGAAGTGTCACAGGCCTGTTATGAGAACCCAGTGGAGAGAGGGACCACTGCTAACTGGAGACAGCTGTGAGGAGGAGCTAACAAGAGCTGGTCCTTGTGGGAGGGGAGGAGCTACAGGGAGAGGTGGCCTAAAGGGTTAAAGATCTGGGGAGTCAAAGCATTTCTAAGGGTGAGAAGAATTTCACGTTGAGTAGAAGGAAAAATGTGCCCTTCACTATTCACCTATCTTTGCCCTGCCTATCCTAAACCTGTCTGGAGTACTTTAGTTGGTATTATTCCATTTTCTGGGTCAGCATCTTCACTGATCTCAACACAGGAGTTGAAAATCAGAGCTCTAAGGTACAGCAGGAAAAAGGGGTGGTCCACTTAGTAACTGTGCATCTTTAAGACTAGGTTTTGCTTCTGTAGGAGCCTTCTGTAGAAATGCCTGAGCCATTGTTAATATGGTTGAGAGGCCTAGGACACTGAGGCTTGCCAGATTTAAAAGCAAGAGTCCTATCCAGAAGCTTTTGTGATGTGACTGAGTGAGAGTCTGAAAATCAGATACTTACCTGTTTGCCCTGCACTAAAACATTAGTAATGGATGGGGCCAGGCTGTCCACTAGTTTACTTAAAAGACTTGCTGCACAGCGCACAACCGACCTGGGGGCAAAGAAGAGAGCACGCCAGAGGTTGACAAATCTAAAAGATGATGAATGAATGGGGCCCCTGATGGGGAGATTGAAAAATGTGCACAATTAGGTCCTTACGTAATAATTTGGAGGAAATACTGAGCCTAAGACACTGGACCTCATATCTGAAGTCTCCCAGACTGTAGGACCATCCAGAATTAGGGAGGGATCCCTAATCCTCACCTCTGCTACCAGCATTATTCATGCCATTGTCAATTTAAAAAGAAAGAAAAAGGAGCCTAACCATCCCTTTGATGGGGAGTAGAGCAGGAGGAGGAATTGAGTATTCTGATTTTGCATTAAAAAATTCATTATTAAGTCTGTCACTGGTAAATGTCATCTATTCCTATAACCACTTTGAATCATGTTTCTTTTGGTGCCTAGATAACCAAATTCCTAGATTTGGGGACTCGCTTAGTACTCAATTTTAGGAAGTGATATAATGAAATACCAGCATTTTTTTTTTCTTGATAGAGCCAGAATGTTGGAGGAAGGAATTCACACTGCTATTTTTACATTTCTGAAAAAGTCTCAGATTCTAGAGGGAACAGATTTTTTTAAAGCATGGCACATGCAATACATAAGACATTTTTTTCCCTCAAAAGTAAAATTCATGTGGAACTTTTAGAGGAAGAAAATAAAATGAAAATGTAGGTTTAAAACTGTTTTCCTCGGGCGCCTGGGTGGGTCAGTCATTAAGCATCTGCCTTCGGCTCAGGTCATGATCCCAGGGTCCTGGGATCGAGTCCCACATCGGGCTCCCTGCTCGGCAGGAAGCCTGC